GGTCATCGGCATGTAAATGGTACGAGCAGTCGATGATGGAGGTAATAAAGTTTATAAAAATTGAAAACATTATAGGAGAAAGAATACCGCCTTGCGGCACACAAGCATCCACATCAGCCCAAGCTGAGGACAGTTGCCCCACACTGACTGACTGCTGTCGACCGCGAAGATAAGATGCAAACCAATCCAATTCAGTAGGGACGCGCCAAAATTCAGATGAGACAGTATAGAAAGAAGGATTTCATAATCAACTGTGTTGAAAGCATTTGAGAAATCAACTAGTACCAGTACTGTTATTTTTTTTCCATGCCTTGTTTAATATTATCAATAACATTAATTAATGCAGTAGTGGTATGACCAGGACGAAACCCAGACTGATATATACTCAGTAGGTTATGTTTCGAAATAAAAGTAGAAATTTGCTTGTAAACACAGGATTCTAAAATTTTGGAGAGAAATGTAAGAATAGATATTGGTCGAAAATGATCGGGAAGAATGAGAGTAGGAACTTTTGGGAGAGGCTTTACAAAAGCCCCCTTCCAAAGATTAGGATACTGACCTGAACCAAGGGAAAAAATGATTATATGGGAAATTGCCGGGAGAAGGTGCTCTAGTATAAATACTACTATATGTCTACTAATCTAGTCGTAACCCACGGCCTTGGACTGGATTGCTAAAATCGACTTTTTGACATCATCCTGAGAAACAGGAAAAAAAATTAAGGTAGGAATGTTAGGAATTTGCATAGAAGCAATGGAAGCCATAGTTTGGGAACGAATTGTAGGGTCCAGTGCTTTTACAGAAGCGAAATGTTGGTTGATTTCATCAAGTGACAGAGGAGTACCACAATCCAACGTAGCTAGTCTACAAAGACCGAAAGATTTTAGGAATTTCCACACTAAAACTGGAGAAGAGTTATTAATACAGTTATGGAAATATCGGCGTTTAGCTGCACGTACCATCTGATTACACCTATTCCTGGCTGCTTTAAAAGATATCCAATTTTCTTCAGTTCGATCTCTCTTGAAACGAAGAAAAGCACGATTTCGTCTAGCCATTTCAATCTTTACGCCCTCTGTCATCCAAGGGGCAGGGGACGCTTCAATCTAACCTTGTGAACAGGAGCATGAGCATCATAAGGGAACATATTGTATTAAGGATAGTGACTTTATCGTCAACAGTAGATGCTGCTATTAAAGAGGCTAGATCAAGATTAGGAGCGTCATTCCTAAGCTTGTCAAAGTCTATTTTAGAAAAACTGCGAAGATGCATTACAGTAGGGGAATATTTAGGAGGTTTAAGCTTATACGATGCATAAGTTAAGTCGTGGCGTAAGAAACCCAAAGTGGGTAACTGTCCATGCACCATCACATGTTCAGGAGAAGCAGCAAGGATTAGATCAATCAGTGAGTCATCGGTTCCGATATTATGATGAGTAGCCTTTAAAGGGAAAATAGAAAGATTAACCGACTCAATAATTGAAAGAAACCTTTTGGAACGCGGGCAGTTTTTCAACAGATCAGTATTGAAATCACCCATGATTATACAGTGAGTGTACTCAGAACAAATATCAACAAGAGCCATATCTAAAGTGGCGAAGTAGTCGGTAGATTGGGGGCAATACACTACCCCTAGAAGCATCGTGATGCCCTTGACATCTAGTTCCACAAATAAAAACTCGGAAGAAGCGGAATAGCAGGAGGGAGATGCTAAGACAATTTTATAAGGAATTGATGCGTGTAGGTAGATTGCTACACCACCTCCACCTTTTCCAACACGATCATTCCTAACAAGTACGAAGCCGGGTAAGGGATATAAAGTTGACGGTAAAGAAGGTTTCAGCCAACTTTCCGACACTAATATAGCATGAATATACTCAGGAAAAAATGAAGCTTCAAGTTCGGAATAGTGGCTCGGGATACTTTGAGCGTTAATATGACATATGTTCACAGAGTTAGTAAAGAAGTAAAAACTCCTTTGAGTATTTCGTGTAAATTAAGCACGCTATCGTTGAGAAAATCATTACAAGAGTGAAATGACAGAGTAGAAGAATCATTTGCAGAGCTAAACGACTCAACATCAGACATATTACATATACTAAAATAATAAATAAATTAAATAAATATATAGAAAAATAATAATAAAAATAAAATAAAGTAAGTTATGTAAACTATAACTATTAACTAACAATTACTAAACATAAACATCACCATCCCATCAGTTCACTGTTTACAGAGTAAACTTAATATAAATAAATTTTATATACAAACTTATGATCTATAATATCTAAAGTGGCAAAAATAATCTTGACTAATAATAAAGTTCCTAAGTAGATGTCACACAAAATATTACAGGAGAATGTTTACCAAGAGAAAATCGATTAAAGCAAAGTATAAGATCGACGTTGGCTGTATGATACATGTGTCCTTTGTCTATAAAAAGCTAAAGAAAAGTAATACATAGTTGTCATTGTCAAATCAATCAAATCGAAACAAAAAACAAAAAAAAATCAAATGAAAAATATGTGGTAGGTACATTTGTAAAAAGATAAGTATTGTTATTTTAATTATTGTTACCAATATCAAGCATAATATAAACAAACCTACTAAGTAAGAAACCTCAAATAAGAAACAAAAGGAAACTAACCGCAAGCAAGTTATGTAATACAATATAAAATCTCATTAAGTTTATATTTAGAGAAATATAAATTCCTATGCAGACTATACTATTAGAAGAAAACAAATTAAAAAAAATTGCAATTATACTGCTGTAAAAAAGTGAACAACTTATTACTACAGTACAGACAATATTGTTCTGTGCTAGTCATTACAACCAAGACGATGCGGGACTATAAACACTTAAGTAAATATATGTAAATCAATAATAAAAACAAGGGATTACAAAAATAAAGGATACCTAGGAATACCATTATATGTAAATTAAGCAAGCTATTTTTTAGCAATTAAACGGCGGGACCTTTTAGAATCCTCTTTCTGCACCACCACACGAACTTGATTGCGAGGAGGTCTCGCACAGAATTTTTGTGCTTGAAGAACTATGCAGTGCTTGTATGGGTTTCTTTACGCTATTAGTAATACTGCTGTTAGAAGCCATGCTAAGACTTGCTGATGAAAAATCAACAGGAAACTGTTTAATGAGAGTATCGATCTCCTCTTCAGTGAAGATTTTTGCCCGTTCATTATTGGGAAGTTTGATAAAAATTGCTCCATCTAAGGTCCACACATTCTTCATTTCAAAATGCTTGCGGGCTTTTTTTAAGTACAGATTGCCTCATTTTAGTTAAAAACTCAGACACAGATATTTGAGAGCCCTTTAACTTAGTTTTAGCTTTCCACACTTCAGACTTTGTGTTATGCTCTTGAAATTGTACAAGAATTGGACGTGAGCGACCATCCTTTTTTATTTTATTTCTCATTTCTTAGGTGGTGTAGCACAAGATAGAACACGGAGAGAGAGACTCGTACTGTTTAAAATCAAATAACAATAGCCCCACTTAACACATAAAACAGACGCCACGCTATTTTTTCCATTTTTCTTTTAACCTTTTACATATTTGGTTACCATCTGTTTGACATTAATACTTCCAGTTCTCACTACCACCTACCAAATTGCGATTGGCGTTAGTGTAGTCACGATAAGTCGATAAGTGCATAGCGAGCGATTAGCAAGCGACTCCCTAAGTAATACGAAACTTTTTTAAACAAAGCGATTGATCGCACATCTGCCCTCGATAATAAGAAAGATGTATCTAACAAAAAGTAAATACGGAGAAAAAAATATTTTAAGATGAAAAACGGGAAAACCCATGCTGTGATTTATTTATTGCATTTATCAAAATGCTGTGGATGTACCATTTTTCGGCCCATATCTCTTCGTAACTTAGTATTATAACATTTTAGTATTGATAATATACATTTTTTTTTCGAAAAGAAGCGTTTCTTTTTAGCAAAAAAAATCCGGAAAATTACCTAGAACTAAGTAGGAAAGCCGTAAAACACCATATGCGCCCTTTCAATATAGCACCAAAAACATCACTACCAATTCACCAATTACAACAGCTATTTTCATAATATTAAGTTTAAGAATAAAAGGCGCATTTTATTATTTACGACTTTCATCCTTAGTACCTTAGCTGTTGCGGCTATTTAAATAATAGGATAAAGAGTTAGATACTATTACCTATATCTTTCACAGCAGGTGGCCCTACAAAGCCCAAGAAAACAATGTTTTTGAAGGTATAAACGTCATTCAAATTAGGGGTTAAATTAAGTATTAAATCAGAGTCACTTTAATCGGGTACATAATCAACATTTATTTATGAACGGAAGTTCTACAAATATGTTATGTTATGGGACAATCACAAAACTAAAAACTAATCCTCTTAGGAACCAAACACCTTAAGTAGTAACAATTAGAACCCTGATATTAGGAGCTTGTCACCTTGTGACCCAAAATATGTCTTATGACTACACTACAATAAACAGTCTTAATCAGTCAAAATATTTCACAACAATATAAAGATGTAATCTTTCGGTGGCTTAAGCGGCTCTTCTAGCGCCTAAAATGACATAAATATTTACAAAGAGATCTGTATCTACATACACGTAAAGGCACTCTGTTACTCTTATGAACCACATATCTTAATTAGTAAAGATTAGAACCCTGTACGTTAGGAACTTAGTCAGGCCCATAAGTCTTAAAACAGTCTTAAAAACAATCAAAATATTGCACAACAATATAAAAGTAACAAAAAGGCTCTTCTAGCGCCTAAAATAACATATGTAAATGTTTTATGTTTACAAAGAGATCTATACGTAATTAATAGGTACTCTGTTACAGCAACCATCAATAAACAAAACAAAAAACGCCTGTCTTTCCGGCACACAAAAATAAGTCCAACTTAATTTGGAAGTAGCAAAACTTAAAAGATTTAAAAACATAAAAATTGTTATAAATTTTTTTTTTGCACAAATCACTTTCTAACTATCGTCATATTCAGTGATCAAGTTGACTGCATCATCATTAACAGGCAAATTATTCCAGAATGCCCTCCTATTCTCGGGCATTAGAGGACTTAACTTTTGAAGTATTTCATCTTTACGTTCTTGCTTTATTCCTCGGAAGTAGTTTTTGATTACCGGCGAAGGTATCCCAATCTTAATGTTTTTGACTCTCAGAAAATCGAGATCCATCGGTTCTGCATCAAAATCCGTTTTGTAGACAACTGAATTTCGGTGTCTTTGGAATACAACCTCACACATGTCACTAAGGTAGGCTCGAGCTACTCCAGATTGCGATCTTCTTGAAGATGATCCATGTCCATGTTGCAACTTAGAGATGAGCAATCCTCAAATGTATAAAAGTCACTAACACCCATATCTTTTACTGTGATCTTACGATGGGTATCTGCCACCGCACGATGGAAATCTTCGAAGTCATAGATTCTTTTCTTTCGCTTCATAGAAAGTTCGACCTGGTGGTGAAACTCATCCGCGGACATGAAGGTATGCCCAACTTCAAAGTATCTGAGGGTGATTGTTTCTAGATTGACGTGTGTGGAATTTATTAAAAACAGAAGGTATGAAAATAAGCTCCAATTTTTGTTCTGCGCTGCGCAGTTATTAAGCCACAGAGTGATGTATTTCACATCTCGGTTTTGCAAGAAGAAAGCCCGAAAACAGCTAGTAATATCATCTTTCTTTCTGCCTTGAATAGCTTCGTGCCATATGCATGCAAATGTCTCCCTTGAGCTGCTACTTTTTTTATCACCGAGAGGAACGAAACTTTCATTGAAAGCTATCAGCCTCGGGCAGAATATCACTGTTTTGAAGGTGTCAATTCGTGGAAGCATGATCACCTTTTCCAGGTCAACGGAGTAGTACAAAACGTCACTGTCTGTGCCAAGGGTCATTTGAAGATTCTTATCCTCATTGTACTTTTCTCTTGCCAGAGTGTAACGTTTGTAGTGATTTTCGTAATTCAAGCACTCAGTGCAGGAACGATGTCTTATTTCAGGATTAGGGTTGTGAAATTTATATTTTTCACATGTCTCGCACTCTTCATTGCCCAATTTTGCAAAAGATATATTCAGTGATTTAACAACTCTTCGATAGTGATCATAGGATACAGTACATTTTTGAGTAGGATCATTTGTTATATTATATTTTGCACAAAAGACATTGTACATGTCCCGCATATTAATATCGGAAGGTAAATATTTTCTGTTAGGTGCATGTTCTCGTCTGTAATGTGATAGGGAAGGATGAAATGAATTAATGTGCTCATTTATATTCGTGTTATCTATCTTTTTAGGATTAGGATTTGTGCCTCTCTTGTCCTTCGGTTCTTCATGGTCTACAGACTTAATAGCATTTCGAACGGCTTTATCGTTAGACTTGTTAAATCCTAGTGTAGTTAAAAAAAACTTTGCAAACACTGAGTTTTTCTCCGTTTCCGTTCGAGAAGTAATAAAAAAACAGACTTTAAACGTCTCGGGTCTGAACTGTTAGTTGTACGTCTATCTGGATTCTTCTGAGATGTGTTACCTTGAAGTATGTTTGTTCCTTCCAAGTCATATTACGAAACAATTTATTCAATGAGATTCTTTGACTTTCCGAAAATTTTGTTGAGCATTTCTTTTTACAATTTTCATCACAGCCTGTTTTAACGTAGTATTTGGATTCATTTTTTAACTTCTTCATAATTTCCTGCCGCACAGCTAGTTTTGTTGCATAATATTTCCGTTTTCTTATCGTCCCTTTCTTAGTAAGTTGAACTTCGACGTTTTGGTTTTCCTGAATGTTTGACTCCGGCTCGCTAACATCTTCAGATGATGTCTCGGATATACAGACGTTATTCAGCGGCTGTGAAGACTGTATAACATCGTTTTCAGAATCGGAATCAAATAATTGCGGATATCCTGCCTTCTTTTTTTGAGGTGGAACATAATCTTTATCTTTAACTGAATCATCCGAATCAAATTCAGTTCCCGAAGGTGAACTGCTGCTGCTACTATTGTTGCAGATTTCTTTAAGATTTTTGTCATGACCAATGTTGTCGTTGATGGTAGTAGTGCTACAACAAGCTTGATCGATGGGACTGATGCCAATACTACCGTTGGCGGTACTGATGCTACAACAAGCTTCATTGTCCGGATTGGCACGGATGCTGTCAATGGCGGAGTTAGAGCTGCAACAAGTTTGCTCACCGGTACCAAAATTGTCGATCGAAGTAGCCGGGCTTTTGAGTACTAAATTTTTTGATAATGCTCTTGAAATACGGTCATAACCACGACCCGCCTTCTTCATCTTTAGTTTTATATAAAAAAATGTAAATATATTATCAGAAGCGTGAAAGCAAACCAAACCAAAAAGCGTACGACGTAGATATACGTTATATTATAACACGTTCACCGTCTTCCCGCTTCCTAATCCTATACTTAGGTATGTTATAGCAACGTTTGTTATAGCGAACGTAGGTGTAAACTAACCTATACTCTATTTTTAGGTGCTTGTCTAAAGGTAAACAAAGAACTGTCACAAAAACAGATTTAATTCGACGTTTTAAGTCATAATTTGGCAACTAAACGAAATATTTGCTATAAACAAACAAATTAGATAAATTCATGTATTTATTATCTATTTAGAAGGAATAAATACATGCACCACTGAAATAAGTATTTAACGGTTGTTAACATTTAGTTAAATACCTAAAGAAATGCAGTATAAATTCGTTTGAAATTATCATTACCTGTGAAAATGTTGCTCACAGGAGTAGTGGTGTCGGTACCGATGCTACACGCCAGACCTTAACAGCCGCTCAGGCGCAACTGAAGCGTTCCCGAACATTTCCCTTCCCCTCGCGTCCCTTTGCATACAGCGACACGAAATAGTAAGGGCACTTCTACTCACTTGCGTCTTTTTATTAAGTATTGATTGATATATAATTTCGTTCCACGGAAAAATAAAACGCATCTACCACATACGTCTATTAAAAGAAGTGGTGTACTAAATTGAAAAGACGCAGGTGGTAAATAAATCTTTTTCTTCTAGTATTAGCCCAGATTTTCAAACGATTGAAAGGCGCAATAGCCAGTTACGTCTTTTCATAGTCACACGCAGAACTTAATGAATAGATGCGTCTTTTTACTTCTCCATCAAAGTAGTTATTCATTGAAAGATTAGACTCATCTACGCAAATACGTCTTTTCATTTTACTTCGATCAAAATGTGTCCTTTCATCTTAGTTAAAGTATAAATGATAATGGAGAAGAGCCTTTCTTCACTGTGGTAAATCCTAAACTAAATGAGATAAAAAATTAAAAAAAATATCAGCAGGTACGCCTTTTTTTCCTCATTCGGATAATATATATAACTCAATTTTAGACAAAATGTTAGATACGTCCTTTTTACTATCGGGGGCAGACATGTACTGCGCGATTTTTTGCTAATTGCTAATTTTTACATAATAGCACTGCCGGCTTGCCAGCGTAATGTGAAATTTACAGCGAGAGCTAACCATCTGAGCTACCACGGCTCTTCTGAGCCACCACGGCTCTCTCATCGTTGAAAGGAATACACCTCTTTATTTTGTATGTTTTTTTTTTTCTATAACAACAAACTTTCTTTTGTGACAAACGAGCACACAGTCCACTTGAGGTGGTTGCAGCGGCCCATAGATATCTACATCTATCCTCGATTAAATTATAAATTAAAATGCAGATGCGTTCTCACCCGTGAGGACTAAAATGGGGGTCTCCGGTTCTCTACACTCACCATACGAAACACAGAAGCATTAAGCTACTATTTCACGCTGGTATTCTGTGAGAGCGTGGTCCTTCCCCGATCGAGCCGACCTATTCGTGCTACAACTATACTACTAATAAAACTGCAGCATGGCTCTACCACGTATAAAATGTTTTAATGAACTAGTACATGATGCACAAAAAAAGTGCAGGATCGGACTTTAATTGTGGCATATTTTTGTGTAATGCATAAGAAGTGGGTTCTTTAAAATATATATATAAATAATATATTTTTAATTTCAGGAAGAGATATATTTATTTTAAATTTTATTATTTCGTAACTATTATTTGTGTTAAAGGAAATATGTTACCTAACCTTTTCGAGAAATAATGTTGTTGGTTATTGGAAATGTAATATAACCGCCGCGCATCTCGCGGCGCCTCTGAACGCCTTTGCCACTCGACACATATTATGGTGCATTGGGTATTGTTTACAAAAAACGTTATTTTTAACTAGATCAGCGGGAGTGACACTTGAATGGTTTTATGGTTTTTAAAGGAATGAATTAATCTTTATTTCTGTACAAGTGCTGTTAAAAATTGTATGCTCAAATAAAGTAATTAATTTTTTAATAAATATGGCACTTACTTTACGTGATTTGTAAAACTTAGCAGGATCTATTTTAAAGATTACTGAATCATGTAAGGAAAAAGAGAGGTTCAAGACTGAATCATGTAATGAAAAAGAGATGTTCAATTAGTCCTAGAAAAAAACCACATGTTTCTTCATTAATTTAAGTATATATTTTTAATGAAATAAAAAAAACTATTTTTATTGACTAATGCATTACCGCCGCATCTGGTCCGAACTACATTCTACATCAGTGTAAGTTGATTGTGGGTTCTTGTAAGCTTATTATTAATGCGTTTTATGATAAAAATTGTATTGTAGCCTATGATTTTGCACATAAAATATTGTAAACAACAGATGTAAGATTAAAATAAAACAAAATTGAACTATTAAAAAACTTTGCTTCATTGATAAATATGATAGTTTTGACTTTATTCAATATTTACTTATAGTAATTACTTTAAAACTTAATTAATTATATGTACCCGTTTATAGGAAATTTTATAGAAATTTCAGAAATGTATACATATTATAGTAATCGATATACCGAAATCAAGATATTTGCGTTTAAACGGATTGGGCCCAATCAGCCGTCCATTTTATTAAACAGCTCCGCAGTCAACGAAGTATGACAGTTAGTGTCTCCACAGCTGAAAGGTTAAGCATAATCTAAGAAGATCTAACTGGATGAAAATTTCCATCAGACAAACACCACTTTTACGCAATCATGGCTGACTTAGATTTGACAGCTTTGAAGTATCTGTCGCATGGAGTGTAGAGGTAAGGAGAACCGTATCTGAGTGTCCGTAGGAAAGCGCTAAATAAGGGTAGCGCCACTGTAGGTAGAGGGTAAATTTTAAGGAACTTTTTATACATTTTTATTACACATATTTTCACCATAATTCTTTTTTATAACAATTATTTTATTGTTTTCAAAATCACTCCCAGCGTGATATATTATATAACAAGGTTATATTTACTAAATTATTTTAGGCAACGTGACTAGTGTAGGTTTTAAATACTGCAGTTTCATCGACTACTCAAGTCACCTTAAATTCCTTAACTCAGCACGCTTCAATTCGTCGACAACTGCTAAGTTCATTTCATACCCTCTAGCTATTCTAGCGCTGTTGTGAAGAGTTTTTGAACTGTTATTTACTGCTTACAGATGGACAATTTTTCAACTATTCTGCTATGTGAGATGGTTCTTCTTACCTCTCCTTACACTCAATGATCTGTCTATGGGACACTCATTTATGACGTAAAAAGATCAATGTTACCATTCGTCAAAAATGGAAGGACCGTCAACGATACAAACAGGAATAAAAAAGTAATTTAGTTGGTCGCAGGTATATTGCCTTTACCTTATAAAGGGTTAGGGTTGCCTTTATAGCAGCTAATTATTGAGAATATATAAATTATGTGTTTCAGGATTTTTGGATTTTCACATTTTATAATGGGGAGGGAGGTTTAAAGCAGTCTATGTAAGAGTATCGGTTTTTTAAAGTAGAGAAAGAGAGAGAGAGAGAGAGAGAGAACACGGAAAGGACAGAAGAAAGAGAAGGGATGGTAGGGGGGAGTATAGGAAGGAGGAACAGTTAAAAACCTAAATCCACATGGACTAAATCTTAGCCTTTTATTTGAAATATAATAAGTATATCCACAGCTCGTTAAAGTTACATATTTATACAAGATGTTTGGGAAATGGGTGCAAAGCCTGAAGGTTATGATACCATAACTTGTCGTAGACGAAGTCTGCTTCTTTTTTATTGAATTTCTAAGATTTTTAACATCAAATTATATTTTTTTTTCAATTAATTGTTAATAGTGTCTAGTAACAGTTGTTATGTTACTATTTTTTATTTATGTAGTGTGTGATTACTCAAATAATTTTCAAGCATCTTCATATTTAAGTTTAAAAAAAATAAAAAAATATTAAGAATATGTCGTATTTGTGCCAACATAAAAAATAAATAAATAGCTTTTGTTGTTCAAACTTTTTCAAAAACATGCTCAGTAATTGCCCCTTTTATAGGGTTCCGTAGTTACACAACAGGGAACCATTATAGCTTCGCCATTTCCGTCTGTCCATCCGTCCGCGGTTTTACGCAGAGACCGTAGGAGCTACAAATCCGTAATTTGGCATAGTTATAGATATTAATCACGCGTACAAAACTGAAATAAAATCTTACAAACATTTTTATTTTGGGTACCTCCTATGCATGTAAATGAATGACGATTTTTTTACCAGTCTATTCCATCGTATAAGGATATCGTTGGATAAGTTTTTTAAAAAAATTGGGGGTATGTAAGAACATCTTTTGAATTCAGGGGTTTATTTGCGAAATATTAAGCTTTAAAGTCGTATTTTTCATCAGGATCACATGTCCACCCCCCTCTACCAACTAAACGGCTGTTTTAGGAAATCAAATATACTCAATACTAGCATACAAGTTCAGCTACAATAGTGACTTTATTTTAACACACACATATACATTTATATTTCACGAAGAAATTATATTTCCATTAAACGTTATTATTTAAGGATTTATTTGAAATTTTAGGAAATAGCATGTTAGAGTAACTTTTATTTGGAGAAAAGTCGCGCAGCGGTCATTTGGCAGGGTCACGGATCATAACATCGCATAATTGAAATTGAAATGAAATAAGCAACACTAGTGAAGGAAAGAAACTTTGTAGGCAAGCGGGCGGCGTAGGCGACGTGTACCCCTCACTGCTTCACCGAAATCAAATTATTTTTTTTGCATTTCTAGTGGTCGTCGAACACGCGTACTTGACACACATCTTCACAGTAGTGGCCATAATTACGTCGACTAATATTTTTGTGAATGTTTTCGCGAAGAGGACGCTTGCATATTGTTCTATTTATTAATTTTTGTGTAATTAGGATAGTAATAGGCTTTATTGACTAATTTTGGAAATCCACTTTAAATGATTTTTTGTTCCATAATAAGCACACTACATCGATATTTCCGGGAAATCTATTATATTTACTATAAAAGTTAATGTTTGTTTGTTTGTTTGTGGCGATTTATTGAAAACGGGCCAAATTAGGAGTACCCTTAACCGACGAGCATGTATGCGTAGGTGTATGGATGTGAAGAAGGCAAGAGAGGTGTGTTAGGATCGTGCGAAATGGAAGTCTGTAGTCTCTGCCTACCCCTCTGGGTGACAGGCGTGAGTGTTTATGTATATGTACGTAAAAGTTAAAGTTTAAATTTCCAAAAGCGCGCTGAAACGCTGATTCTGTAATGGCGCTGGTCACATGACATGTGTAACGTCACACACAAGTGAGGACGTCAATGACCGTAACATAACAGAAATTTCTAAATCATATAATAATTCATAATCGAAATTTTTCTTCAAATTTATTCGGTAAAATGGTGTGTAGTGCCACAATATACCAATACGACTATAAGTAGTCCACGGAAACTGTTTGTTTTCGGAAGCTATCTGGAATATTGACGAGACGGGGCTGAGTACTGTACATAAACCTAAGAAAACCTAAGCAAATAGGGAAGATGACATCAGGTAAACGTGGTGAATTGGTAACTGCGTGCTGTGCTATAAATGCATTGGGAAGATACATTCCTCCATTCATGATCTTTCCACGCAAGAACTGGCAAGATCGTATGTTGAACGGTGCACCTGCAGGTACAAATGCGAGCGCATTTCCTTCAGGCTGGATGACTGCTGAGAATTTTATAAAGTTTTTACAACATTTTAAACACACACCAAATGTTCAGTTGGGTATCCGATGTTGATCATAATGGATAATCATGACAGTCATATTAGCATAGAATCATTAAACTTCGCTAAAGAGAATGGCTTACCATCAGATGTACTGTGTGCTCGTTTGTCACCCTATCGTATAAAAAAATCTTTTGACAATACCTCCCCGCACGTCTCATAAAACACAGCCTATAGACAGAACAGTGTTTGGACCACTCAAAGCCTATTATGATACTGTTTGTAGCGATTGGATGGACAAGAATCCTGGCAAAACTATAACGATTTATGAAACATTGGAATTACTTGGGAAAGCATTTCCAAAAGCTTTTACACCTCAGAATATTCGGATTGGATTTCGAGTAACTGGAATTTATCCCTTGTAATAGTGATGATATGGGGTCCACTATTAACAAACTCCGAGTGGTTTAATGGCGGAAAATGAAACTATTTTTTGATGTGCAGACGAATGGAGTATGGAGTATTTTTTTGGCCAACCCTGCCTATATTTATATGTCCGGCTACGTCGTTAGTTTACCAATAGTAACAATTTTTATTTACCTAGCCAATTACAATTCATACATTCTGACCAATAAAGATTAATCAAAAATATTATGTACAACTATGTACGCTCCATTTGCCGGCGTGAGACTCGTGGATAGCTTCTCGTAGCTACGTTGCTGAACGGAGCTGTAATAGTGGTGCACACGACGCATAATCGGCGAGCGGCGGCGGCGTGGGACACATCTCCGGAACAGCAAGAAGAAGCGAAGCTGCGGCGTTGAAGAAACGGCTCGAAAATGGTCGACGGATGCGTGAAGACAGCCGGCGTGTGAAGACGATGCGGCGCTGATGATATCTGCGGCTGCTTCTTGTTTCTATATTAGAACGTTAAATATATACGTCAAATGCAGCCCGCAATATCTCAGTAGCCGAGGGTTATTAGGAAATAAATGTTTCCTTCAGACCTTCGCCTTCTGTGTTATGGTAGCAGCAGGTTATATATTATTTATTGCCGTTTAGGATTGATTAGCCTGGCTGCTACATCATTCAATAAAGACATTTTCACCGATGATGAATTTCGCTTGTCGTATGTTACGGACAGGCCTTTAGTTACTGAAAAAAATCCAGAACGCACTGATGAGAATGACCTATCACAAAATTGTGAACTTCTGTCTCCACAACGATCAGCTACACCATCTATTCTATCTGACGCAACATTGACACGTCAAGACTTTGAGATTAATCCGAAAGTACCTGAAAATACCACACAAGATGCGATTGTACCGGAACAATTCCAATCCAACTCTGTCAATTAAAATTAGATCTGATATCTAGTATACACAAAACTCCTACAAAGAGAGCCCACATCAAGTCCACAATCAGGCTGTTCAAAAATCTTGAAACGTTTTAAGACTCCTGAGGGAATAAAACCATTCCCGAAAGCTGGTTGCCGAAAGATAATCCAGAAAGGTCGTAAAAAAGGATCAACGAAAATCTTGACAGATATATCTGAAAAAGAAAAGTTGGTTGAGGAACTATTAATAAGAAGAGAAAAAAGAACAAAAAGATAAATAAAACAGTCGACAAAAAAGTGAATATAGTTAAACGGAAACTTAAAGGGTATAGGTATCTCCCTTCCACTATGGCAATCGTCTTGGATAAAAAGTGCTGTATCTGGGTCTTGTCTCCGGAAGCATTCTCCCTTGACTCTTGTACTTACACAGGTGTGCCTTTGACCCAAGTGATAGACGACATCACTCAGGTGGAAGACCGAAGGTTAGTGCCCCCAAATATGGAGGCATGTCCTAGATTCTCATACACCGTCCACATGGCCCATAAACTTGCAGCATGGATAATCCATATCGGGAGCGAAGAGTTTGTCACTTCCTTGGAGAACAGAGCCATCAGTGAGAGCATCCACGCAAGTTTCCTTAACTTGACCGAATTTAGGGGAGCAGTCATCGAGGTCCTGATCCCGTGCCTTGTCTTTTACTTGATGATTTATGATAGGGAGTTCTCTCAAAGGATCACATACTTTGACAATTTATACGCCGCCAAAGAAACGGCCTATGACGTTATCCTGGACACCATCATGACATGTGGGAAGGCTGGAGAACTTTACACGTTTGCCGGTCTGTCTGCTTTAGGACGAGAGTGACCTGAGATCTGCATTGTAACTGTCTTTCACTCGTTGTGTGGATGAAGAGTTGCTACCTCTGGTGTCCAAGGGAGCATACTTAACCCCCTGACAATGCTGACAAAGTCTACCCTAAACTTGTGAGGCTAGTACTAAGACTCACAGGAGAGCCTAATCTTCCTAGGTGGGTGCAGACACTCCAGGAGCACAAAGACTATGTAGAAAGCCTAGCCCCCATGGTCTCCCGTCACATACCTTACAGAGTGGTGCACTCAGAAGAGGAGGCAGTGGGCTATCTTAGGGCGGTACCACCTCCAGCTAAAGCTAAAGGCCCCGGGATAATCCCACAGTGGCGCAGATGTTGCGAATGGAGAGTCTCCATATCTCCCAAAATGCCATCAACCTGACACTAACAAACGACTTGCCTCAGATAGGCTGCTCTCTACTGGGTGCCTTACAAAGGGTGAAGGATGAAGTGATACCATCCTACCTCATAACACTGAGAAATCCTGAAGGAGTCCTCTTTAATGCGGCTCAACATGTGCTGCACGGTAGAGGATTCCCTCACTGGCCTGACTGTGACCCTAACTCAAATATCTGGGAAAGAGGGCTCTTGGCTAGTGCTACGGATCAATGTCAAGGATATCTCCATTCAGAAGGATTTATCGCCAATATATTACGACAAGAGAAAGACCGCCTGCTTAGAGTGGAAGCAGGGGAAGTTGACAGTAATATATTGTGTGTGGTAGCGGAAGATATCAACGACCAAACATTATGGAGGATTGTTACATGGGTCTTCAATGGTGTGGGAAAACACATCTTAATATTTCCCGGAGCCCATGTTCCCAGATTTGGTGAATGCAGAGTCAAAGTAGTTCCAATAGAGTGTGTTGTGCCTCCATTCTGTACGAGCAGAGCACCTTAAGGTTCTTGTTGGTTCATGGTGCAACATTGTGATAGCGAATGGGCAAGGGCTGGTTCGTCCAGTGACACAGATAGCACAATAGGCTTCTCGCCAGTCTTGAAGTTCCAATACCGCTCTATCATGGAGTACCATAATAGTGATTTTACTACTTTACTACGCAGAAGGAAAAATCTTCATCGGAAGATGATGAATTGCTTCCATCACCAGATTCCACGTATGATATGTCTGAAAATGAAAATGATGACAAATATGATGTTTCATCTAGTTGTGAATCTGAAGATGATCATGGAAATGACATGCCACCAGAAACTAATGATTGGGTTATTGTCAATTTAATATCAATGAAAAATTTGGTACATCGTTATGTTGGACAAATTCATTCTGTTACAGATTCTGGTTACATTATAAAATTTGCAAAAAAAATTGACAACAAGAAATTCAATTGGCCTATAAAAGTCGATGTTGCTGAAGTGGCTAGATACCAAACAGCAAAAAAAATCCACAAGTTTCCAAGTCTAACAGCAAACGAGTGAGCTCATTTAATTATACTAAATCTTTAAGAAAATTTAATATTCCACGTTAGGTTGTTACCTAAAAAGATTATGTTACTTTTTGATTAGATCAGTCTTAGATCTTGCAATGCAAATGTGTGATATAAATACCTGATGTTATTAGTAGTTTCTAGTTGTCAAAGTTATTTATGTTTGTTACATTTCCTTGAGATTAATATAAAGAGAGATCATTATCTCTCATTAATATAAAGAGAGATCATGTAAGTGATAAAAAAGTTTGTGTAATAGAAGTCATTTAAGTACCAAAGTGATTTTCAAATGTTGATAATGTAAGTCTAACCTTTAGGTGATGGGCAGTTCATATAGACACTGCCAAGACTTTTGAAGCTTTATTTTAAGTGTTAATAATTTGTGATATAAATAGAGTTATTACAAGATACTTCAATAAAACCTGTTAATACTTATTAGATTTATAAAAATGTAGAACTTACTTTGAGATTGAGACTCAATAGTCACTAAAATTAATACTTAAGACATATAAAGCTAATTATATTCATAATTTTGTTATAATAAATGATACTTTTATAACCAAACCGGGTTTTCATTAATTTAAAGATTGCATTAGGGAGACTTGATCCCCTATGATCAAGTCTACCCGTTACTGGGATCGATTCTCCCAGAATATGGGACACTTGTTCCTTTTGGAAAGTTTTGGGAAAATGCAAAAAGATAAATGAAGCACTCATAAACATAATAATCAAATAATGGCGAACAATAATAAACAATATTGACTAACTATATTTGTATGTATTATTTTTATAGAACTAAATTTGATAAAAATATAAGCAAGAAACCAACATGGTGATTAAGTGTCCCCAGTTTCCCCTACCAATGCGCACGTACGAAAACAAAAAAGTAGCAATGAACGTTCACTCCAACCCAAACAAAGATAATAATATGCAAAACTTTGTATTTTTTATTATTCTGAGAATAAAAATAAATAATAGTTTCTATTTTATTTTGAATAAATTATTCGTGGAGTTAATATGTAGCACAGGACTACTTTCACTTTGACGCACCATAATAGTACAGATTTTTACCCACACGAATTTGTAATTGCAATCTTTAGCTTTAGCTTTTGCCTTTTGAAGCAGTAGTCTATTAGATGTAGTTAAATGATCGTTTAAGAAGACATAAGAGTTGTTGCCTGAATACCCGATATCGCTAGCTTTCAAGTTTTAAGCTGACGTACTCTGCAAAGAAACTCATCCTTAAAGTAACGAGACATGAAACAGACAATTATACGTTTGGGCATTTTATTATCTTTTAATAAGGAAGCAACACGAGTTACGAAATCAATATCAGTGGGGGCGTTAAATGGTATATAAGCTTTTTTAACAAAGTTTTCTGTGATTGTAATCAATTTCTCATTTTTATATTCAGGAACTCCACAAATTTCAATATTTGAACGTCTGGCTCACTGATCTCTTGTATTTTTCTCAATCTCCAGTTTATTTAATGAAGTCTTCAATTGGACCATATCAGCCGATATAACATCCACGAATTTAAAATTTTTTTTTTGTTGACCAACCGTGTCTTGATTTCTTCATATTTGTTGTTTATAAATGAGACTGGTTTCTTGACTTCCTCCATTTCATCTTCTATTTTCTTAAATTTTAATAGGTTCTTAAAACTGGCTTCCAAACTTTTCTGTAATTCTATAATTTCCCGTCTATTTTTCTGCCTAATTATCTCACGCAATTCAAGCGAAGAAACTATGTTTTGATCAACTGTATCACTGGTTTGAACCTTTGATGAAGTTTCCGACATCGTTTTTTTCTTTTTTGTGACGTTGGGTAACGGTATTATTTGCCAATGCTTGCGATGCGCCCGACCGTACGGGAGTATTGTCGCCTTTAACCACCCTTGGCTTTTTGGCTGAACAAGTGGGACAGGTCCAGTTGTTTGTATCGATAGTTGAAAAATCATAGCTGTTTACCGGGTCCACACAAATGTGATGAAACGCTCCACCACAATGGGTGCATAACATCGTTGATTCCTCGTCTATCGATCCCTCGCAGCAGGAGTACATTGTTATACAAAATTAATATTAATACTAAGACTTCGCAAAAGGCACAAACTTACAGTAATTTCTTCACTTTTTAGTTTTTTTTTTACAACTTTCATGCGTCGTACTCTCTCAGCGACGACTCGTGTAGATGCGCATATGCAATTAATAATCTTTGACAGGCAGCACTGAGCATGCGCGATGATGTGAGATCGATGCACAGTCAACGGGCGCAAGCGAATATGATCACTTTGCACTGCGCGTAACACGGTTTATTATCTACTGTACTGCTTTGCCCTTTGAACCAGCTGTTATGGCAGCCGGCTGATTTTTGCCCAATAATTGAACTGGTCGGTTCGTAAAATCACTGTATTTACTTCCTCTACGTTTGATTTCACAACATAGGTACACGGAACTGACATTTATAACGCGATACGGGTTTTATCTAGAATTGTACGATAAATATACATTTTTCAATAATAAACCGGGAGCTCGCTTGTTAATAATGTTTACCTTTTGACGAGGCGTCAAAGACTGACAAAAGACAATTTAACTATAAATAAACTAAATAGCTGCTAAATATTGATTTTTCGGTTTTTATATAAAGTAACATCTGTAATACCTAACTTCTTAATATGGCTTAATTTTACAGCATTAGTTGGAAGAATCCTTTTCAACTAAATCCTACAGGGTTCCATGTAGGATTTCAAATGTTTTCTGTTATGTTGTTTAGCTAACTTTATTGTCTCCTATTCTGTCTCGTAATATTATCTTGTCAAATGTAATATTTGTGGCATTCCTTGGGAGAAGCAGTGGACTTGTGAAGGGTTGTAACGACGATGATGATGATGCTTATGAAATGTGATATAAATACTTCACTTGTTATATCGACAATAATGTTAATTTACAGATGAAAAAAGACACAACTACATGAAGTACAAAATGGGCTTCAGTCGGAAGATACTTTTGGCAGATGAGACTGTTTCTACTAAATTTTATTGTCAAGAGGATCGCAAAAGACGGCTATCTGATGCTGGACCTTCTGGTAAAGTGTTCCTTAAAAGACAAAGAGTTAATCTTGTCACAAAATGTCTCCAAACACAAAGAACTACTGAAGTCCATACTGCATGTTTACAAAATGATGATGATATGATACAACAAATTATTGAGCTTATAGGTATGTTATTTATTTATTACAAAAGTCATAAACATAATTAAGTTTATGTTATTCACATTTAAATGAAGTAATTAATTCGGTTTTTGTCTTTTCAGAAGCACCAAAACTCAAGACAAAGAAACAGTCACCGACCTTATTATAACTGTACAAAAATCTGTTCAAGTAATAACAAAATTGAATATGCATTTTAGGAGCAAAGATGTGCAAACTAGACGCCGAAATAAAAGTATTTCTACGAGTACCTCACCATTTACATTTTCTACTATATCTCGTTTCACTTCTTAAACCATGCCATCTTCAACCGTCACAGTTAGAAATTATTAAAAGAGTTAAGAGAAATATTTTTCCTTAAGATGAAAAATCAGAAAGTGCTATTTCTTGTTTTGAACGTGGTAATTTATCTCCTTTTGTCATCAAGGCCTCACATCATCAAGGGTTACTGATTCAGATAGTACTGTTACAGATACCAATGCAAATATTGAAAAATTACAGTGCCTTAAAACTACTATGCGTTTAATTGAAAAGAAATATTTGCTGTATGTTGGTATTACAAAAAAAATTTTATTTTTTAATTCAGTTGTTGCATAGACACACAACACATTTTGCTATGCTTGAAAAAAATTTGATTGAACAGCACATTTTCTAAACTGGAGGATAATTTTGGTATACCATTATCTTATGCAAGTAAATTATTTTTAAGAAATTTACCAGTACTAAGTAGTTTTCTAAGACCATTTATTGTAAACTTAGACAAAATTTAATAAAAAAAGAATCTCCCTATAGCATTTAGACATAATTATTATGTCAGCTGCATCGTCGATTGTCTAGAAATCGAAATACAAAAACCATCAAATGCTCTTCATTAGGCTCTGACATGGTCAGAGTACAAAAAAGGGAACACTGTGAAGTATTTAATATCATGCACACCTAATGGTTTTGTTAATTATGTTTCTCAAGGGTTCGGGGTAGAACAAGTTATGTTACCATAGTAGAAAACTGTAACTTTCTAGATGGATAAGAACGGGGAACTTGCATCTTGGCTGACAGAGGCTTCAATCACCTTGAGCAGATACTTCATAAGAAAAGGCACAAAACTAATAAGGCAACCCAGTGTAAACGCTGGTGTAAAGTTTACAAAAACTCAAGTTCGACAAACTAAAATAATCGCTAGCTTGTTGTGAATTCATATTGAAAGGGTAATTAGGCGACTAAGAGAATTCCATATGCTAAAGCAACATTCAGTGATAAATACTAACATATGTCGTGTACTTGATCATGTCATTATTATTGCATGTGCTCTAATAAATTTGCAGAATTCCCCTATTAAATAATGTAAAATGTAAAATTATAAATAATAAAACAAGAAATACAGCATGATTTTTTAAACAGAATTTTTTTATTCAATATGGATTATAAATAATACTTATTGATCGTCACTTTTTTTAAATTAGAACAGCTTACAATCATGTATAAAACAATTAAAAACATAAAACAAATAAGAAAAAGTTTGGTAGGCTTATGATTTCTTATATTTACGGGAACATTGCACATTTAAATAAAACTGGTTTTTACGGATCGCGTATATTAACTTCTTTATATACCCGATGTTTCGAACACTACAGTTTCTACTATATCTCGTAAATTCTGTTCACAATGAAGTTAGAGGCAAACAATTCTTTAGCTTTTCTAGATGTGTTAGTAATTCTGAATCATGATATCACTTTGAGTTACACTGTGTATAGAAAAGACCTACATAAATAATAGATATTTAAACGGCGATTCTCATCACCAGCCTTCACAGTTAGCTACCGTGAGTAAATCTTTGTTTCAGAGAACACGAGGGATCTGTGACAGTAAACACCTGGCCGCCGAGCTCCAACACCTAAAGCAAATTTTGCATGACAACAAGCTTCGGGGTCCCGAGCTTATTTCACTATGTAGTTTACTATGTAGTCTCTCTTACATAGGACAAACTAAATGATCAATTAAAACCCGCGTTAAAAGACATATAGCTGATGTGAAGAATCGACGCTCCGGGAAGTCAACAGTCTGTGAACACGACAGGATCGCTAGTCACTATATCTGATATGATAGACCACAAATGTATTTTTTTTTTGTATATATTAGCAGTTGCCAAATTTGAAAAACAACACAGGAAGAGTTTTTAAAAGCTTAATAAAGAAGTAGTATTCATGAACACGAGATACCCACATCGGATAATAATTAACGAAATATCAAAAAGTAAGTTTTTAGCAAAAATTGTTACTGGACTACTAAACAATATACAATAAAATACCAAACACAATTAAAGATTTTACTATAAAAACATTTAAAACAAATATACCAGTGGCTTCTCTGAAATACATTTTACTCGGTAAATGAGTTTTTAAATTACTGATGACAACTTTTTAGAGTTCATAATTGACATTTATTATTAACTGACACGGTACTGACATATAATATTGTTTAATTATTTTTTTATATTTTTTAATTAATCTTTTGACATCTTTATATAGTAGCGTGAATTGGTTGTTGTTGCTGATTTAATTATTTATTTTGACATGTTAAGTATTGTAAAACTAAAATTTCCAAGAATAAACAAATTTGCATGTCTCCATTAGGGACTTAGTATGTAATACATAGTATTTAATAGTATCTCATGTAACATACATACTAAAAAAGCAAATAAATAAGTAAATGTCACTTGTTTTTGTAAAACTACATTTATTTTTGTGTATGCATATTACATTTTAATAAATGTGTTGAGAGGCCAAAGTTTATACAGGCTGTTTGGTAGATGGTTGCAAAGCTGTCAAGGGGCGCTAGTATAGACAATTTAGAACCATTTTAGCCATGCTTGTCTTAGATCAAGTCTAACCATTTTTTTAATAAGTTTTTATGATTTTTAGTGAAAATGCCTAAAATTTTCTAATTGTTATTTGTGGCCAAATTAAACAATAAAACAGCACTTGAGACTATACTTGAGCAACAAACATTTAAATATGTCACACAGGCAAATGCTGTAAAAATCGTAATGGCCACACCCAATATCAACCTCAATACCGATATGATAGAGAGAAAACAGAAAAAAAGATCAGTTAATGAAGTACCAAAATCTCAAAACGCAGCTACGTCTCCTCGATACGGTATTGAAGAAGAAAAAGGATCGATATGTAATGGCTCTGGCTCAGTATGAGAGGGAGCTAGGTGCATTGAGAGAGAAAAATGAAGAAACTGACTCCAATGGACCTTCAAATCAAGAACTGCGCGCAATGATTGAAAAAACGGAACTGATGCGCTTGGTGATGTCAAAGCTTGTGATGGCCAGAACTGAAACCAACGACGGGCTGGCTGACCCTCGTCGAAAATATGCTTTGAAGCCATCGAGATAAGTTAACACGGTAGAAGGATTCACAAGGGATGATAATTGAGACCTTGATGACTTATTGTTAATTTAAGATTTAAAATTTAAATACTCGTATATGTGTCAAAAAATACAACTTTGCATGCACTTGTAAGTATTTTCTTAATATACTGCAAGTCTTGTGCATGATAACTATTTTATATTGTCATAATATTATAATCATTAATAAAACCAAAATAATATTAAAATTAATATTTTTTTACTTAACCTGGATGTATTACCTTACTAATAAAACAACTCTTTATAAAACACTTAAATATAGAAAATAATAAATTTATAATAATGGCTATCTATTGTGGTGGACTTCATTATTACAATGTAATATTATTGTCAATCGTAGTTTCTTATATTATATATACCTACAAAAATTAAGCAGAACAAAAGAATATCTGTGTATTATCAGAATGTGCGAGGACTTAAAACAAAGTGTGTAGATCTTTACAATCAAATTGCGAGCAATAGCTATGATATTACTTTGTTTACAGAGACTTGGCTCCAGAATGATATTTTAAGTTCTGAAATATGTGATAATTGCTATGACGTCATACGTTTAGACCGTAACTTCGCCCAAACACAGAAAAACACTGGCGGAGGTGTAATGGCTTGCGTAAGGAGTGAATTTGGTGATAGACAATTGCATAGTTTCTGTTCTAGCCTTAACACTGAGTTACTCTGTGTAACGTTGCTAGCAAGTGTGATGGGAGCTAACGGTAATCTAAATATTAATATCCTACATACATAACTATAAACTATATATATAACTATAAAATCTTTTAACATACATAACTAAAAGAAAAGTAAAAATAAACATCCTATCCCCAGTAGCCTTTTTTTTTCGATTTAATATTAAACAACATCATGTAAATGCATATATTTATCACCTGCCACCTAGTTCAAACATTGCCATTCCGAATTACACAAATAAAGGAAAAATCAACCAAAAATATACTTAAGACTAATGTGCCAGACGGGCGAAACTCTCCGGAGTAAATGTTGTCGAAGATACTTCGCGAGTCGCTCACGTCCTACACCTATAGGTTCCGGTGGGTACTTTCACTGCCGTCTTTGTGGTTGCCGCTGAAATATTGTGGACTGAGGTTCAAATCAAAATGCACGATTAATAAATACAAATAGCAAGGTAGTGGCCAGCGGTTCGACTGATTAATTAGTCGCAAAATTTTATAACTATTGACATCGGTTGTACTACGGTTGTTCACTATTGGTTGGTCACTGTATATTTCAAAAGATTTCTTTAAATTGTACGGTGGAATCAAATATCTATTTGTAGTAGCTGGTTTTCTAACACTACTGACTAGCAGCTATTATCAACTAAACTAGCTGATTTTATCACTTGTGTAACTGCGGATATCAGTTACCACTTTCACTATATGTAACTGCGAATATCAGTTACGACCTTTTTTAGGCTAGCTAACACTTTCACTATATGTAACTGCGAATATCAGTCACGACCTTTTTTAGGCTAGGTAACACTTTCACTATATGTAACTGCGAATATCAGTTACGACCTTTTTTTGGCTTGCTAACACTTTCACTATATGTAACTGCGAATGTCAGTTACGACCTTTTTCGGCTAGCTAACACTTTCACTATTCACTATATACTGCTACTAGTCACTTCAGCTACTACCGGATACCACTCACTTCACTTCACTTGTCACTGGTAGTTCTTCACACTACTACTCCTACTGGGTCACGAGCCCCTAAGGTAGACTTTAGCAATACTTTACAGTGAGCCGCTTACCATTTTCCGTTTTGCCTCTTTATTGCATAAACTATTCACTATACAAATGGCTTAAATTGCAATATTCTTTATACAAAACTAATTGCTACACTAACATGCTATACATCATTAAATCGGTAGTCTGATACTTTATTAGTATATCATAAAGGTTCCTCAAAACATTAACATTGTAAAAAGTTATTAAACGAAATGTCCCAAATTTTCATAATATTTGGGTACATTAATTCTTTAATTTTTATATAACTATCAAATGCGTTTAATTATACAAAATATTCCTACACTTTCTTAATCTATAAGCCATATGCTAATTCAATGTCATATTTACAACTCTTTTAGAACATAAAATTATTTTCATTATTTTTGATATGAACTATTACGTAGTTAATTAAAAAACTTCTAGAGAGTTCTACGATAAGACGCGCTGTGATTGGTCGATTTTTCTTAATATAATAAAAGTTGTTTACATTACTTGTTATCAAAACGACATTCTATACAAATATACTAAGAGTTATAAATATGCTAAACAACTATATTAATACACGTTTTCATCCAGTTTGTCGGTAATTTCATTATTAATACAAAAAAAAATATTCTTTATAACTTTGTTTCTTAACGTTGCTAGGCCAGCGCGAACATCTCTCGCGCCGTGCAGCGTCGCGACGATTATCTCACAGCGGCGCTGCATCCATTTCGGTGAGCGACGTTGCTTCTACTTCGGCAGCGGCACGAGTTTCCTGGTTGGCCTCTTGATTAGGCCATTCACGGATCTGTCCGTCCGCACCGGGGTAAACAGCTTCCACCCTCCGTCGTGGCCAGGTGTTACGAGGTAACTGGCCGTCAGCTATGAGGAGTGGATCGCCCACCTGGAGATTGGGACCTCGCCCATGGGCCTCCCGCCGGTTTTGAAGTTCCGGTAAATACTCTCGTACCCAACGCTGCCAGAACATGTCAGCGAGTATCTGGGAGCGTCGCCAGTGTCTTTTGCTATTCATATCCTTTTCATTAAATACTCCAGGTGTCGGTAGTCTCGCAGATCCTCCTAAAAGGAAGTGATTTGGAGTGATGGCTTCGTCGTCGTCGCTGTCTACAGAGATGTGAGTCAATGGTCTGCTATTTACTGTGTACTCCACCTCGCAGAGCAGCGTGGCTAATACTTCCTCATGTGGATGTCTCTCATGAAGGACGGTGTATAGTGCCTCTTCATGCACCGTATGAGACGTTCCCACACTCCTCCCATGAAAGGCGCGGAGGGGGTTATAAAACGCCACACTATGCCTCGTCGACTGGCTTCTTCTCGAAAAGCCTCCCGAAGTTCCCTGTCTGCGCCGTGCATGTTGGTGCCATTGTCGGAGTAAATCTCGGTGGGGCACCCTCGGCGAGCTGCGAATCTTCTTAATGCCAGTATTGCGGAGTCAGCGCTGAGGTTTGCGACAACTTCTATGTGGACAGCTCTGGATGTGAGGCAGGTGAAGAGAGCTACGTATCTCTTCTGATGTTGACGTCACACAGTGACGGAAAGTGGCCCAAAATAGTCCAGACCGGTGAAGGTGAACGGTCTCTGGTGATGAGCGAGACGTGTACTTGGATGGTCACCGGTCGCTGGCACTGATGGTTGTGCTTTTCTGATGCGACACTGTATGCATTGGCTCACTATCTTTTTCGTAGTGGGTCGAAGTCGGATCACCCAGTAGTGCTGTCGAACCTCGTTGATGGTAGGTTCGGTTCCGCAATGATGCAGGCTACGATGCGTCCAGTCAATGTATAATTGCGTGATGTAATGATCACCATCCAATATAGCTGGCCCCTTCATGTCTTCTGTGACTCCCTTCACGGCGGCTATGCGACTTCGTAGCGCGATGATCCCGTCTTTCAATTCCATTTGGAGCGGTCGTAGGCGGCTATCATGAGCGACCTTTTTATTAGTACGGAGATCGATTATCTCTTGTGAGAAGGAGCCTTCTTGTATGGCACGTATCAGGAGCTTTTCGGCCTCTCTGATGAATTCGGCCTCTAGTGTGATGTACCTTTGGACATCTTTATTTTTCACTTGACTGGGAGGCTGCGCGATTTGTCGCGGATTATTTTTCGATTTCCTCCAGTCGGGATCTTCCACTTTGACCTTTTTGGTTCTTTTATAGAAGGTCCTGTCTGTGGTTTTGCGGCAGAGTGTTATAAATTGTAGCACTCTAGCCGTAGCTCGCAATAAGCGTTCCCATCTCGAAAACCTTGCTGGATCGGGAACAGCTTCTCGGAGTATCGGAACTTGATGCGATTCCTTGATGGTGAGGGATCTTTCCTCACCTGTTGGTTCGAATGACGTGGGTCTTTCGGTTGGCCATGCTGACGGTTCTTTATACAGAAATGATGGGCCGTTGTACCACTCGTGATTGGAGTCGAAGTTCGGTGGTACGTCCCTCATGGCAATGTCAGCTATGTTTAATTTGGTAGGTACCCAGCGCCAATCCTCTACTTTACTATGCTCCTCGATTGCTGCTATTCGGTGGGCAACGAAAGGATTGTAACTCCTGGAGCCCTTTTTTATCCACGTGAGGACAGTTTTGCTGTCAGTCCAATATGTGACGGCTTCGGGCGTCACGCAATGTGCCTGGATAACGGCGGTAGCTACGCGGCTTCCCGTCACGGCGGCTTGTAACTCGAGTCGAGGTATGGACGTTACTTTCAGCGGAGCTACCTTCGCCTTAGCCATGATGAGGCTCACATGTACTGTCCCATCGGGTGTCGTTGATCTCCAGTAGACTGCCGTTGCGTAGGCGCTCTCACTGGCATCGGTGAACACGTGGACTTGGAGTGAACGTGCGTCGCTGAATCCCGGGTAGCATCTTGGGATGCTTACTGATTTGAGCTGTTCCAGGTGTTGGATCCATGTGGACCACTGTTTAGTCAGGTCTTCGTCCAACTCCTGGTCCCAGTCTGTTCCTCGTCTCCATGCTTCCTGCAATATTTGCTTTGCTCGAATTGTAAGTGGGGAGGCGAGGCCGAGCGGGTCATACAGCGACATTACTATTTTGAGTGCTTCCCTCTTGGTTGGTGTTTTATGCAGCAAATTGATTGGAAATCGAGCGAGCTTTAGGTTGAAGATCAGCTGATCGGTACCCGGTTTCCAGATTAATCCGAGTATCTTTTCCTCGGTTCCTTTGTTTCTCAGATAGACTGACTCAGATGCTTCATGGTCAGGTTCTAATTCTT